GCTATGTGGTTTTGTCGTGATGCGTGGTCTCTAAATGCTTTTGATTCATTATCACCGCAACGAAAAGGTTCTGAGCATGCAAATTTAAATATATTTTCTTATGAATCAGAAAACTATTATGCACTAATTTATATCACGCATTACATGACATGTGAGGAAGGAGGCCTACGAATACATAGAATCAGGCATTGTCCTGTTCTCTTCCCACGGTAGGAAGTCTCATTGCACGGACGTTCTTGCTCATTCCCTGGGGATGGGCATCGGCTTCAGCGTTCTGGTCTAAAACACCACATGCTCACTTGCTGCTCTTGGGATGTTCCTAATAGTCACACCAAGGTTACAACCTGTATCCTAAACATTTATACGTCACCCTCTAAAATTTACTTTTCTTTTCCTAACACCACAGTTTGAATTTGTCTTCCAAGAAGTTCAATACAACAACGTAACTGGTCCCTAATCCCTGTCAAAGGACTTGCAGGCTTGAGAAGAGCGCCAGCCAATGAGGGTGCATCACAAGAGGTTCAACTTGGTTTTCTTTGGAGGTTGAAAAGCCAATAGAAAGATGAGAAGTTTTAAGTTACAGCACTGCCTCTTGTTTTTCCCAGCAAAAAATACCAAAATGAAGTGAAAACACTACCTGCAGTGACATCTAATAGCAAGAGAGAAGGTTCTAAAACCAATGGTCCCCAGGTGGGGTACTTGCCTTAACTCCAGGGCTAATTGTACTTTAGAGTCTCAAAGCACCCAGAAGCAAAGACTATTTTTACGTCGAACTCTATGAGGCAATTCTTTCCCAAGGTCCTTTTAAAAAACTCGTAATTTTTGTTTTTCCAAAGACTTTGGCAAAGGGCACACATTTCCTACCCAGCCTTTGCCGCACACCTGCCCCCTCATCCACATTCTCATTCTCATTCCAAAAACGCTCCCTGGGCAAAAGGACCGAGGCTGTAAAGACTACAGTACTAGGAGCAGGGCTCCAGTCTCACAAAGACCAAAAGAGCTACAGCATACATCCATTAAGCAGACAGAGACACATCAAAAGCTGCTGTCAATCTGCCTCTTTCTAATTTATCTTTCTCAGCATTTGCTAATGATTAGTAAAGTGTATTTCTACCATTTTTCGTTATTTCCTCTGTAAAACTAAAGGAATGAATTTAAAGAGGGTTACCACAAAAAGAAATCGCAGTAATAAGATGTTTACTAGACTAAACTCAACGCCATGCAAATACCATTTTGTTCCCGTTCCCCCACAAAACGGCGCCGCGGCTCTAAACTACAGGGTCGCCACTGATCCACACACTTCGCTCTGCAGGCAGCTGAGACTGAATATTAACAAGCCCACGTGAGCTAGCCAGGTTCAGAGTGTTGATTTCTTAAAGTAAGTTAAAGAAATTGTTTTTCATCTTCTACAAAACCATAAAGTAAAAATATTTGTCCTTTTCTTTTTCTGGTGCTCTGGTTGCAAATATCAACATTATTTTAGGATTCCACCCACATTTCTTTTATTTATAATTTTTGTTTCTTTAGAGTCTCAGACCATGTGGTCCCTATACTAGATTGACACAGTCTGCCGATGGTTGAAAATAACACATGCACTGTATTATAGCATTGAAATTTGCTAAGAGTGTAGAACTTAATTGTTCTCACCCCCCAAAAATAAGGGACACATATGTGAGGAGATGGATGTATTAATTAACTAGGAGGTGGGAATCCTTTTACTAGTACAATGTCTATGTATATGAAAATGCCATGATGTATACTTTGAATATCTTACAATTTTATCTATCAACTATATCTCAATAAAGCTGAAAAATAAACAGTGCATTACCATAAAAATAAACATTAAAAATAAAATAAAATACAATGTTTTTCACCTAAAAATAGAAGATATATCACCTAATACATATGTATTCTAGTGATGAGCCCTTGTTAATTATTTTTATAAAGTGGTACAAGAGCCTAAGATTAACATGCCATGAGTGTAAGCTTTGTTAGCATCCGTGTGTCTCACTTTCTCCTGTATTCATACACTTTCCACTTCTGCTTAAGCCAAGTAAATAGCTTTGATGAGAGGTAGAAAAATGGGTGTTTTAGGACGGAAGCGTGTAGTATGTGGCGGTACCAATCTCTGAGCTTCTCTCCACATTAACCTGGTTAGAAAACTCTAAGATCTCCAGCACAGGAGCGTGTCCTCCTGCCTCGGGGCCTCCCTCCAACCCGCAGATGTGTACACAGCATTTTTGACCAAAGCAAAGTGTCACTCATGAAAACATCCTCATCTTCAAAGATAGACGTTCCCCGAGAAGGCAGGCTTTGGCAGGTTACTGTAATTAGCCAATCAATAAAAAACATACGAACTGTCAGCCTTCTGTGAGATTTTATAGAACACAACATGTTCTATAAACACAACATGTTCTCTTTCTGAAAACATTTAAGTGAGAAGTTTGGGTCAAGAAAGAACATATTCTGATTCTGCATTGTTGGAGGTCTTAAGTCTTAGCAAGCATCGCCGATATTAAATGTCCAAAGTCCATTTAGACTTCTTTAAAGTTGGAGCAACTGTCTGTGTTTGAACAGATGACATAAAAATAGTAAGGACAAAACTAGGAGTGCCCAGAAGGGAAAACTGTACCAACTGCTAGTCTCCCTTGTTTAGGAGCCCCGGTAGTTTTTCCAGGTGTTAATAATTACATTAGAATGTGGCCACTTGTTAAACTTATGAGACTACAGTTCTTTATTTTTAGTGAAAGGTTTTGACTGCTGTAAAAATGTTATTTTGAATATATTTTAAAACGTAAGATTCAAAGAAAGAATTTTGTATGCACTTTTTTTTCATTTAATCGCGATGATTTTCAAGTTTCTACAAATAGGGTAATTGTAAAGCGTTAAGCATTTACTTGTGAAAAAAATGTATATATTCTCATTCCAAGAAATATAATAAATGAGCGAAGTTGAATAAACGCTTTAAAGTTTACCATATTGCCAATGGTTTCACAACCATTCTCTGGTATTTATTTATTAAGTAAAATAAAAATGATTAAGACTAAAAAAACAACAACAAGAAAACAAGAAAGGATAGTAAATAGCCAGAAAGTATGAAACTCTCCTAAAACTAAATTAGGCTGGTGAGTTTACTCTGGAAAATTTAACGGCACATTCCTACTATAACGTTCAGCATGTTTTTCTAATACTCCCAACTGATTTTTTTAAAAAGAATGGTTTAGATTTTCAGTAGCTGGTCAAAATGATCCATGATTACTTGATATTACTTTTACCACAATTATACTTTACTTAAAACTGGAGTTAGAACAGTATTAAATAATATAACAGGGAAAAGGAGAGGGGAAATGACAGAAATGTGGGTCCTAAGAGCTACAACAATTAAGCAACAGCAAGGCGTCCCGGAGCTGCCTCTTGCTTCAGTGGTGTTGGCCCAGAACAGCCCCAGGGACACGTGTTGGCCCAGAACAGACCCAGGGACGCCCCTTCTCTCAGCCTCGGCCACCCCGAACAGCCCCAGGGACGCCCCTTCTCCCAGCCTCGGCCACCCCCAGCGTCTTATCCAGTCACCACCTTCAGCACCACCTCCGGGACCAGCCAGCACACTGGCTTCTTTTCTACCTTAACTCCTTATGTGAACAACCATGAGCTCCCAGATTCCTCAGCATTATCCCACCGAGGTGGAGGCTGCGGTCAACCGCCTGGTCCCCACCACCACCACCACGCCTCTGCGGCCGCCCACACCTACCTCTCTCTATCTGGACCCTGAGGATGTGGCTCTCCAGGGCGTGGGCGCTTCTTCCCCAAACCGGCAGAGGAGAGGCTCCAGGGCTCTGAGCACAAACCCAGCGCGGGGCCGCACTCTCCCCCAGGACGCGCTGAGGCCTCCCCAGATGAGGGGGCAGAACTCGGGGGCCAGGGAGGCCGCCCGGCCTCGGGGAGGAACCTGACCAGGCCCTGGTGGACCTGCAGGCCCTGGTTCTGCCCCCGCAGACGCTCAGCCTTAAAGTCCTGCAGAGCCGCTTCCGGGTGAGGAGGGGAAGCTCATCCAGAAGACCTGGGGAGCCCGGAGGCCTGTGAGGGGCCCCTCTGGGGGTCCTGGGGTCTGCCTTGTGCCTGAGCCTCTCCCCGAAACCCCAGCCATTCCTTTAACCACCCTGAAGCCCTCTCCCATGCACTGGACCAAATGGAACAATAAAGCTTTTTGCAGCAAAATAAATAAATAAGAACATCTACATTTTGCAGGTGTTTTTTAAACTAAGATATGAAAAGGCCTAAGAAAAAAGAGCAAAGATAAGTTAAATTCAAATTTTTGTACCTCTAAAAAACAAAAGAAAAATTAAGAGGCAGATATTTGGGTTTGGAAAATAGGGTGGGAATATAAAATTCTGAATAACCTGTAACTAAATCTCTTTCTTAGAATAAAAAATAAATGTCCAACTGCACCAATCTGCTTACCTCCACTGTCATGGAATGGATTTTTTTTTTTTTGGCTTTGTCATTGTTATGGATTAAAATGTGTCTTCCAAAAATATATGTTGAAGTCCTAACCCCTAGTACTTTGGAATGCAACCTTATTTGGAAATGAGGTCCTTAGGGATGTAATTAGTATGATGAACTCACACTAGCCTAGCATTAATCCAATATGACTGGCATCCTTCAGACACAGTGCGCGAGACACACGGAGAAAGCCCTGGGATGATGGAAGCAGAGATGGGAGTGATGGGGCTATCAGCCAAGAAGCAACGAGGACTGCTGGACAGAAGCAAGGAAGGATTCTGGCAGAGTCTCGGAGGGAGCATGCCTTTGCTGGCACCTTGATTTCGAACTTCCGAGAGAGAATGGATTTCTTTTGTTTAAAGCAACCCAGTGTGTGTGGTACCTGGTTATGGCAACCTTCGTAACCAATACAGTCACTGTGTTGTACTGCAAACCCAAGTGAAAAGTCTGAAGAAGGGACACGGGTTAGGAGGGCAGGGGCGGTGCCAAGAAAAACTTACCTGCAACATAGTCACCAAAGCCAATGGTTGTTAAAGTGATAACCACGAAGTAAATGGCGTCCAGAGCGCTCCAGCCTTCTATGTGCTTAAATATGACGGCGGGCAGAGCAACGAAGAGCACACAGCCAAACAGCGTAAATATGATTGTGGAGATGATGCGAATCTTGGTCTGACTAACATTCCACTTCTAGGGAAGAGAGCGAGAGGGTGAGAGAGAAAGAGAAATGGACTGAGATTAACTGATTATGGGCATATGCACAAAGCTAACTCATGTACACTGTCATCAGCAAATTAGCATTGGAAATTTTATTTGGTTCCCTTTTATGATTAATTTTCCATTGTCTTTATAAGTAAAGTCACATGACTAGCTCAAAACAGCCAATGCTAATGATGATACCACTTTAGTCTTACAGAGCCTACACCAGGTAAATTACTCTCCCAAGTAAAATCACATTTGCTCTTAAAATACAAATTTCAGACTTACATCATCCTTTTGTTTACCGGAACTACTCTTAAAATATTTCCAGTCTATAGGCATACAATTGATTGTGGGGTAAACACAATCTAGAAATATATGAAAATGGAAAAAAACCTGAACTATGAATTAAATATTTGCTACTGATCAAATTATTCCTTCTCACTCCTATCACATTTCCAATCAATATTCAGTTGATTAAAAGTGGATGTTCAGAGACTTAAAGTTCACATTTAATTCTCAGATGAGCCTGATGAACTCTCTCGCTGCCTGTGGTCTTAAACTATAAAACTAAATATATCAAGGATGATAGGTAAATAAGGATACATCTTCCACACCTTTAAGCTACAGCTGCCATCAGAGCACCCATATTTTTTCACCTCCTTCTCTTATCAGAAATCTCCACAGTGTGACATTAAATGAAGACTGTACAGACAGCAGTTTATCTCCAGGTCTCTTTTTGAGATTAATCACCGTGAATTATTCATCTCTAACTGAATCTGTCCTTTCTAGGTCTCAGCCCCACCATAAAAGATCACTGAATGGCAGAGCTTGAAATTTTTCTAGACATAAAGGTCAATGAAACCATAGAATGGAAAATAGAAAGAAAAGTTTCGATAGTCCACCATCCTTATCACACACCTGAGAGCTAAGTGAATTCACATTTGTAAAGTTCTCAGAAGTGTTTAATGCTGAATCATGACCCCTGGAATGTATCCCCTAACAGGGCACGGAATTTGTCTTATGCACTGATGTAGATGCAGCACAAAGACACTGCCCAGCATCCAGTAGGTGCTCGAAACTCTGTTGAATAAATGAACAATTCAGTACTATCAAGTTCACGCCGCTAATCCTACCTCTCAATTAATATAAATACAGGATATTTTTATATCAATATAAGAAAAGGATAATACCATAAAAAGGATAAAACTTCTGTTTGGGAATAACCACACCTACTCCACTCTTACAGTAAAAATATTTGAGAGTGAACTTTGAACTTAAATATGAAACATAATAATGCTAAAAACTAGAACTATGATTTAAATTGAAAAACCATACTCAAGAGCCTTATTTCATCCATAGAGTTAAATGTAAAATGCTCTGACAATTTTGTGAAAATATGAAAATGTCATTTAATAATAACTAAAATGTATTTGGAATAGTGGTGATAGTAGTAATAAATCATTTATAATCCCATCCTCTCACATAATCATTTTCTTTATCCAGAATTTTCTTCAAGAATAGAAGTTTGTACTCATGATGTTATTGTTTTTTACTTAAAATTGTAACAGGAGCATTTTCATTTTATTTTTTTCTATTGAATGTAATGTGGCCATGAACAGCTACATATATATTACTGTTGGTTCTACTGAATTTTATCACTTTGATAGATTCCTATCAATGACATTACTACATTAAGTTGTACGGTCATCTTTATTGTGTTTGTCATATATTTCTATATCCTTCATAGAAGGGTTATATGTTTACAGTGACACCAACAATGAACAAGGGTACCAAAACAATTTTTAAATAATAAAATATTGTCAGTCTTTACTAGTTCTGTTAAACTTTAACTTATATTATCTCTAACTCTCAGAGTCATGTTTCATTGTCAGTAGTTCTATTCACATTAAATAAATTGCAAAATATAGCTAGGAGACAATATATCTGGAATTTGAACTAGGGCTGCCAGATTTATACTTTTTAATGCATATTTTAAGAGTTTTCTCATGCATTAATTTATTCATTCAGATAAGTGTAAAAATAACTATACAGTGAGTTACATGCTAATAGGAGTACATATAAATTGTTATGGAAAATCTAATAGTGAATGTATAGCTGCTCTGAGATAATGGGAAAAGTGTAATATTTTAATACATTAAACAATATCCACATGTAGTTAAAAGGCTATCATACTTACAATAAACGTATCTTCCACTTTTGCAATTCCTTTTCCAAATATGGTCCCTAGCTGATCTCCAACTCCAGCCAACAGAAAACCAAAGAGGGGAATTCCCAGTAAGGCATAGATGATACAGAATATTTTTCCCCCTTCTGTGCGTGGTGAGATGTTTCCAAACCCTAGATAAATTTAAGAAAAAAAGAATTCGGTTGTTTATAAATGAGTACTAGTTTAAAACACATGACTTTAAGGTCGATTCAAAAATTCCTAATATTATATCAATCACAGATTTCAATTAGTTTAAGAATCCTTTTGTATTACATAAACTTTTAATATATTTTAATATAAAATATACATAAGCAAACATTTCAACCATCTACAAAGTAAAGCCATTGTTCCAATTAAACTAAATAATGAAAACTGAGGGGGTAACATGTGTAATAAAGCAAATATTTAATTAAATGTACTTCTGTCTCTCTATACTTAAAATCCTGTTAGCTACAAGGTTTTCATTGCCATTTACTGAGAAGAGTGTATTGCTTTAATGGGCCACTATTTGGTCACATTAACCATACATTTTTCTCCCCCTAATATTCCCATCTTTCCCTTCTTCCTACTCAGGCAGTTTGGTGTTCATTGCTAATCAACTCATCTACTGACGTTTTTGTTTTAATGTACATATCTAATTTTCAAGAACTTTGCCTTTTGTCATTAGCCTGTTTTTATGAAATGAAAATAATAATTATATTCATTTCTTTGTTTTGTACCATGTATTAACTCAATTCCTTGAGCGCAGTGCTACCCTTCCTTTTTTTAGGTGAATTTCTTCAAGTGTTTGCGAATTCCTGGCTGTATTTTCATACTTGTAAGCACAGTACAACACTAGATTGGTTAGTATTTGTGGCTGCAATGGATTTCCCAGTCTCAGTGAGAATCATGGTTGAGCTGGTGGTCTATGTAAGATTCTCTTTAAAGGAGCCCTGGTTGAAGTAGACTTGTGTTGGCCAGAAAGAGGGGAACTCATGTCTGACCAGGCTCTCCTAGTGGGTGTGCACTTCACATAATTCCTGAGAGAGAAGGGTCTCCTAATTCCTTATGATGGCTGCCAACTCCCAGCCACCAACTGACCTCAAGCCTGCTGCCTGCTCTGGGAATATATCTGAACTTAACTCTGAAATGTTTGTATTCACATCTTTATTCTGGAGGTGAAGACTAGACACAGCTACAAAATTCCACAAATGTTGGTTAATTTATAGGCTATTGGCCCTGGGCTCCCTTCTGCTTCTAATTTTGGTGCCTTCAGAAAAATTTTCTCTATGGAATCCTCTATTTTGCTTCTATGGGGGACGTGGGCTCCCCAGTTCAAAAAGAGTTCATTGTCAATCTGAATATACACTCGTATGCTTCAAATCATCCCCAAATCCATCCTACTGTGGTTCCCTCAATCCTTCAATCTCCAGCCACCTCCCTGCCTTCAACCACACCATTGAATTCTTTTCCAATTATTTTTACATGTTTTTTGTCATCTCAGTGCAACTTTTGGGGTATATGAGGTAAAATGCATGTTTATTTCAAACAGCTAATAAAGTAAATTCATGTTGTATTGAATAAAGGATTAGATGTATGCATTTAATGATGTTTTTTAAGGTGGTAAATACTGATCATCTAATAAAACGTCCACAGATTTAGAGTAAGATATGCACACATCATGATTTTTTAAAGCATTTTACTTAAAAGTCTAAGATTATCTGATTGAGAGAGAAATCGGGATGAACAGCCTGTAAAAATTTCACAATTTATTGTAGCCATTTCTGGATCCACCGCTCACTATGTGTGACCCTGGGCAGATTATTTCATCTGGTGACAGGGTATGATTGTTATTATTATCTACTTCATCGAGCTGCAAATACTAAGTCAGCTGTTACATGAAGAGTGCTTAGAAAAATCTGTTATACGGTATGCACTCAATATACGTATGTTAGGCACGGTGATCATTATGATTATCATTATTATTGAAATAGTACCGGTAGGAGCAAAAAATAGCCAATCATGTATTTAACCCATGTATTCAAGAGCCAGTAGAATGGGGTCACGATTCCACAACACTCTCCACTGCGTTCTGAAATGTTCTGTCAACCGGGGTGCCATCCTTTGGAAGGAGCATTGGCAAACAGCACGCAGAGAGGAAGGCAACTTCTCACCCTAATGGTTGAAAGGATGGAGGATGTTCATGCTGAAGAAAAGATGAAGAAGGGAAGAATGCAGGCCAGCTGCTCTCAACTATCGGAATGATTAAAACATGGGAAAGGAAAGAGACCTGTGATGCTCAAGGCAAAGAACAAAAGGAAAGGATGCAAGCTACAGAACGTGAGCTCATGCTGGGGTAACTACAACTAAAACGGTGTAAGCGGCTGTAAGAAGCAGGCAGTGACTTGCTCTTTGACATTTTGGACCGAGCAGTACCACCATCACATTTTGCCACTGTCCTCTTAAAGGACACTGTTTTTCCTGTTCCAGGATCCAATCCAAGATTATGCATTATATTTAATTAAAATATCTTTTTACCAGTAGTTTTTGTTTTTGTTTTAATCTCCTGGAATAGTTCCTAAGCCTTTCATGACTTTGATCTTGTTTAAAGAATACAAACCAGTTATTGTTATTTAATTGTGTCTGGTACATCCTCACAGATTCAAGTGATGCATTTTGGGCAGGAATATTACATACGTGATACTGGGTCTTTCTCGGTGCAGCACAACCAGAGGCACATGATGGTTTGTCTTAGGGGATGATGTTGACCTTGAGTAGTTGGTTAAAAATGTGTCCACTACATTTTCCCATTGAAAAGTTAGTATTTTGACCTTTGCAATTAGCAAGTCATTAAGGAGGAAACACTTTGAGAGTATGTGAACATTCTGTTCCTCAAACTTTCACTAATTATAGTATCTGGAAATAAGCACGTACACAGTGCTAGAAAACAAAATACTGAAGGTAGGTGAAGTAGTAAGACAGTAAGTGAGATAATGATAATTTCACATAGAAGATAAAAAGCCCAGAATCACTAACAGATCCCAGGGTGTGGAAAACGGAACCAGAGGAGCGAGCAAGGTTGTTGTCCATCCACTGTCTTGTTCTGAGTGGCTTCAGAAGCCGCCATGGGTTGTAATGGACACAGCAGTCCCTGTATACGAAGGAGGAGGGACTGGGAGCTCCTGAGTCAGGATAAAGAGCCTGCCATGGCTGGCCCTCAAGACCCAGGGAAACCTGGCAGGACCATGGGCTCTGATGTAAGGAGTCCACACATTTAACTAATTTACCTCCCATCTGCACTTCTCTGCTCTGGAAACGTTCTCTGTCAGAACAGTATGTGCAAAGGGTCCATCCAGGGCACATGCACAAAAGGCCCAGAAACCTTGTATTGAGGCCGGTTAGTAGAAAGCTAAGAAAATTCCTTGGCAAGTGGAATGGGGAAACGGACAGTTAAAGAGAAGGCTGAACAATTTACAGCCAGCTAGTAAGTAAATCACAAGATTTTATCTTCCCTAACCAAGGACACTCAGAAACAAACGGTTTACATCTTCCAGACCACGCCAGGGCAGACGCACCTCGGGCCTACTCCCTTTCTGGTGACGTCTCTGAAGGAAAAACTGACCAGAGAATGATCCTGATCCCTCTAAATGCTCATTTCGATGCACGAGAGTGTCAAAGAGCACATCTGGAAAGCTGATGAATATTCTGACTGAGACCTCCCCTGAAATTCCCCACCAGATAAAAACCCTTAAGACAAAGGACCCAGAGCGAGCTGTCCCTTGAGTATGCCTGTGCCTGCATCTCCCTCCACCCCCCCTTCTTCCCTCAGGCATGTATCTTTGCTTTCTTTCTCCTAAGCTCTAAAGCTCCCAGGAGATTTGCAGCCAGGGGAGCAGTAGGCAGTGGCAGCTTGTTCCGGGCAATACCCTGAACCTGTCTCCAGAGTCCTCCTTTTGCTCATGTACCTTATTTCCTGAGTCCATGCAGCCCAGCTGGCTCATTTCTTCTGCCTCTGAACTTTCTTCCTAAAGGGCCAAGGCAGCTGTGCCTAGGGTCACTCCTATTGCTATGATCTTGCTTCTCTCTTAAGCGGTCCTTCGTCTTACTGTCCCCAGCTTTAATAAATGTACCCTCAGAGTCACGTGGACTCATGTCTTTGAATCTGTCCTGCAAAAAGTCAGGAACACACACATTGCAGACCACCTGGGTCCTGGTCCCTTTCTGGGGACAGCATCAAGGTTAAATGGAGAAGACAAAGGCCATCCCAAAGGTTAGAAAGTCAGGGGATGTTTAACCAGAACTACTAGTATGTGGACCCGTGTACTATTTCTGTACACTATCCAAGAATGGAACTCAGCAACTTCAACCCTGTCCTGTATTCTATCCTCAGTAAGTGAAACACCACGAACAGGAAGTCCTTGGCATTGTCAAGGTGGACTGTTTGACCTCCGTTCTCCGATTATTCCAGAGAGCGCTGCGAAGGTCACACGGTGTTCTTTATTGCCTCTCCAGATGAGTAACTATGCGGCCCTACCTCAGGGCCATTACCCTATTCCATCCCATTTCCTCTTTTTGCACAAGAGGACAAATGTCTTCAGTTATACCCATAAGAAGTATCATGCCTCCCAGAAGGATGGGGGTCAAATTTTTTTAAAAAAATATATTTTTTTAAATTCTGACTGTGGCATTGTTATAAATAGATTCTATTGTTTAAAAAGTAAAAGCCTACCTTTCAGAGGGCTCCATTTGACCTACACCATGCAAGTTAAAAGGGCGTAAGAAACCAGAGCTCTAGGTTTTCATCCATTACTGGTTCAGATTTGGCCCGGAGGCGACTGGGACATCTCCAGATAAGCTTATGGAGGATTTCCTCAGGAAACCTGCTTACATGCCCAATACAATGGCCCCAAATCAAAAGAGAATTCTAGATAGAAGGAAATCTACCTTTCATTGATCAAAAAATTTGAGACCAGTCCCTTGTGGCATCTCCGTGCTGCATTTTTATCATCTCCCTAACAAAGTGAGCAGAAGGGCGCAGGAATGAAGGAACCTGACCTGGTTCTTTGAATGTATTCTGCTCCACCTTATAAACAGCTGCATGGCCACCATTGTGCTGAGCTCTGTGGTTGAGCTGTGCCTCAGGGTAGCATTC